TGAAAGCAACAGTATGACTGAACACATTATCACCAAACATACCTGAGACTGCCCCCTCTCAGGCCGGACTTGGAGAGAGTAGAACAACTCTTGAAACTACAGGCAATGATAGTTCTAGTTCCTGAATTTCCCTCTATCTTGAGGTTATCTTGAGATGATTTCGGGGCTTTTAGTGTCCCCGCGGCCCGGTCCTCGACCAGGCCTCCACCCCCAGGAAGCAGCCCGTGACAGCTGACTAACACCCAGGTACCTATTTTACTGCTAGGTAACAGGGGCATAGGGTGAAAGAAACTGTGCCCATTGTTTCTCGCCGGCGCCTGGGATCGAACCCGGAACCACAGGATCACAAGTCTAGCGTGCTGTCCGCTCGGCCGACCGGCTAATCTATGCTCCTTCCTTCCCTGGAGCAGCCACTCACCCGTCCAGTCGGTGGCCGACGTAGTACCCCAACAGCTGGCCGTTCCACGAGTCAGAATCAGGCGCCGCCCACGACACCTGCACCTGCTGGGGGCTCAGGCCCACGGCCCTCACGTTGATGGGGGCGGCGCTGGGGGCCTCGCCCTCCGTCCGCAGCGTCAGCGGCTCCGACGACGGTGACTCCCCCACGCTGTTGACGGCCACCACCCGCACCTGACGAGGCAGTAACTTAGCCACAGGTACAGTGACGAGTGAATGGACTATATATGAATGATAATAATTATAATATTAAAGAAAATTATAAGAATACTCTTCATAATAGTACAAATAAAAGCTGTAATAATACATGAAAACCATATATATATATATATATATATATATATATATATATATATATATATATATATATATATATATATATATATATATATATATAAGGAACTAAAAGTAAGCCTGAAGTAATTACAAACTTGAGCTTTGAGCTTTACATGCAAATTGTACTGTTGCAAGCAGTAAGTAAGTAAGCCGCACCGGGCCGTGGTCTTGTGCCTGGGAGGGGCGAGGGAGTCTCCTCAACACCTGCAATTAACCTGGGAGTTGGCTAGTGGGAGAGGCAGTGAGAGTAACCCCAGAGAAGCAGCAGGAAAGGAGGACTTTTTGGGGTGGGAGGAGTGAGCGAATAATGACGGTAAACTGTGGGAAAGGTAGAATAGGAGTGGATGGAAGAGGGGTTACAGAGCCGAAGAATGAGGGAGATAACACATGGGAGGGATTATAAGATAGGGAACAAATATATATATATAACCGATGGAAAGGGGGTAAATGCCTGGGGTTAATTAAATGGGGGGGAAAAGGGTCTTAATTAACCACAGGATGACGTTATTTGTGATAAATGACCTTGTGTGAGAATAAAGTATCACTACGGGAATAAGGAGAGAGGGAAGAAAGGCGTGAGTAGAAGGAAGCGAAGGAAGGAGGAGGGGGAGGGAAGAAATGATTCGTGTGAAATTAACTCCAGGAGCAAGGGGGCGGGGGGCAATAATCAGGATGCCGAGGGGAGACGAGCAAGGGGAACAGAGAGAGAGGGGAAGGTAAAGGGTTATTATAACCGCACCTTAGGTCAATGCCCTTTGTCACTGAACACAACATTGGCACACCGTTGGAGACCTCATAGGAACAGGATAAATATATATATATATATCTACATTATATTGTCAACCACACTTTCGTGGAAATAAACATTCCATTCACCTGGGCTGTGGGAGACTCGAACCATGGAACACCCAGGCGTGTGAGGCAGGAGCTCTATCTAGTCAGCTATGAGTAGCCTTAATAAGGAAAGATTCCAGAAGCATCTAGTGGTCGAGATAATTCTCGTGGAGGCCATTCCCACACTGTACACACACGGTCACGGTAGACGCCGTCACCGTAGACACACACACACGGTAGAGACCGTCACCGTAGACACACACACACACACGGTAGGGACTGAAGAAGTACTCACCTGGTAAACTTTAGCTGGGAGAAGATCATTGAGAACGGTGGAGGTGGTGGTGCCCTCAGCCCGTAGCTGCCTCACACTCACCCCGTCCCACGAGGCTGTGGGGGGCCAGGTCCTCATTGTTAGTGGGCTGAGGGGCAGGTGTTGATGGGGGGATGATAGGCAGGTGTTGTGGGAGTATGATAGGCAGGTGTTGTAGGAGGATGATGGGCAGGTGTTGAGGGGTAGATGATGGGCAGGTGGAGACTGCCAGATATTAACGAATATTCATATTTTCCAAATAGAAACGTCTTTTAAAAACTCTTCCAAATGCTTGGAATTTCCTGCCACTAATTCCTAGCCTTTAGTGTTCCAAACTATTGTGCTAATCTGCTTTGTACCAGAAGAACAGGGCTCCAGATCTTGGGCTCCGCCTGTTCAGCTATCTGTTGTCTGATGCAGTGAGAAATTCTGCAATCATATTCACATTTGAAATTGTGAATGGACTTGCCATCTACTATTTGATCCTTAAGCTCATTCCATATTATTACTACTCTGGACCTAGAAAAATGCGTTGTTGCATATCTATGGGTTTCTATGTCT